TCTACCACTTGAGCTATAGCGCCACTTCCGGTTTTCTGGTGGTTTATTGGAGATAGGAGTCTCACGGTCTCTCCTGCCCGGGCTGGCTTTGAACCACGATCCTCAGATCTCAGCCTCCTGAGTAGCTAGAATTACAGGCGTGAGCCACCAGCACCTGGTGGGATGGTCATCCTCTTCCACCGAGCGCGCAGCTTCGGGAGGGACGCACATGGAATGGTGAGGGAGGAAGGGGACACCCACCTAGCCAGCCAGATCAGCCGAATCAACCCTGGTGATCAATGGGGTGACTGATGTCACAGCCAGATCACCCTCACATCCCATAGTAGGATTTTGATAGAAGACAGAGTTTGTCATCTTTGGAGCCATTTCTAGTTAAATCAAGTATTTAACTGTACAAAAGTTGTCATTAATCTAAGAGTAAGGGAATCTATTACTCTCAATATCTTATTTAAAAATCAACTAGGGAGATGACAGAGTGACAGGGGAAACTGGTTAGCATGCATTGTTTACATGTAAGCAAGGTCTCCTGGTACAAATAATACAGGCTTATTAAAAGTAAACTATGTAGCTTTTTATATTGAGCTTTGAAATCCTCAGAATAATGAAATTAAGCAGCTTCTTGTTCTGTTTGGAAAGAGTGAAAACAAATTTTATTAGTATAGTAATGAACTACTTTAACCTGAAAGTACAAGTGTAGTTGACATAGTTAAAAACAAAAAACCTTGCTAAGGGAAGTGATGACTGTATAGTATATTATTTGAAAGCTGAAGTATTTGTTACTGAGTTAAAACACAGATCTCAGGCAAAGTAAACTCAGGTTTTACTGTATGAGGATGATAGGAACTAGAGATTACTGTGAAGGAAATCTTTTATAAGAATTCGAGAAGAATTAAAGTAATCCATTGTCTGTTTGGTGTTAATAAGGTAATCACAATATTCTGTACACATTTTTCCATATCTGAAAATGTGGAAATGTTAGGAACATCTTTTTCTTAAAGTCCTGCTTCATATACAAATCAGTAAATTTTAGGACTTTGTAGAATTCTGATGATTTTCTCTCAAGAAATTTCAGAGTTTTAAAACACAGTTTGTTTTTATTTCATATATAAAGTCTGGCTGGGTTTTGTTTTTGTTTTTTGCACAATTTTTAGACACAAATGCCAGACCCTAAGACCTTCAAGCAGCACTTTGAGAGCAAGCATCCTAAGACTCCACTTCCTCCAGAATTGGCTGATGTTCAGGCATAAAGTTGTTTACAGGTAACTAATTTTTTTTCTCTTGGTTAGTGTCAGGTTTTAATATAAGAGTAAAACAATTTTGTAACAAATTAATTTCTGCCTTCTGAGACTTTATTTTCCCTATTGAAGTTAATATTAACTACATTATTAGTGCTTAAACATGATTTCAAGTTCTCTTCCTTCATGATTGTTGAAAGTATTTTCCTAGACCATTTCCTTTCCATGTGTTTGAAACATCCAAGTTTTGCTATTATAGTCAAAATTGGGGGGGGGATGCATGGAAGCTGGCCAGACCTGGACCCCAAAGCTGCAAGAAAATAGTTAATGAAAAGTATCTGAGCTGGGTGCCAGTGGCTCATGCCTGTAATGTTAGCTACTTAGGAGGCTGAGACCTGAACATCTTGGTTCAAAGCCAACTCAGGCTGGAAAGTCTGTTACCACCAAAAAGCCAAAAATGGAGCTTTGGTTCAAATGGTATACTTCTATTCGTGAGCACCAAAGCTTAGGGACAACGCCTACACCCTGAGTTTAAGCCCCAGGACTGGGGGAAAAGTATTTGAGGGTCTTCCCTGTAGAAATGATACAGAATAACTTCCTGGTTATTTTACTTCTAGTGAATAGCAGCGTTTCTAACTAATTAAATTATAGCATAAAATATAGGCAAACACTATATAAACTTGTCTTAAAATAATCAGTTTATTCTTTCTGTGTGTTTGATATTTCCTCTGACCTAAATGGTGTTGTTTGTTTGCTTGAGAATTATTTTTTAAAGTATATTCGTATCACATCCCATTGGCAAATCTCTCAGTGACTGATTGATACTTGATACTTTAGATACTTGAAGTTCATTATTAGTTGCATTTGTTCACTATAAATTTTTCCTTATGTTTTATAGGTGAATTCATGACACCTTGATTCTTCTACTGTCTCAGACCTTAGGTAACAAACCTGCAGCTGCTTTTCTAACAAACTGTTGATCAGCAAAAATAAAGGGGCTACAGAAACACTCATTTTTATGCTGTTCCCTTTTGAGCTTCATGCAAAGACAATTCTGTGTAAATGTACAGTTGACTCTGATTTGGAAATCTGAAAATCAGTTCATCCTTGTTAAAAAAAATTTTTTTACAATGTAATTATATTGATGTTCATATTGTGTAAAATAACTCATTTAATAAAGTAGTACTTTGATTTTACATCACAGGACACATGGTTCTAGAAATTCTGTTCTAACTTTTCTTATTTGCCTTTTAAGAATCTAATAATTCCTTAGCTAAAATTGCAAGTACAATTCTTATCTCCCTTTCTCATTTATTCGTTAAAGATTCATTTGTTAAGGTAGTGTATATGATTTTAATGGCAGCTGATGATGTAGGTTGAAGAGTAACTTACCTGCTGCCTTAGTATATTGCAATTATGTGCCATTGCTCACCTTTGATCATTTCCTGTGTTTGAAGTTAGTTCCTGTGTTTGAACTAGTTCTAGCTGCCAGCCAAGGTTGCCTGTAAACTGTGATTGGATTGTCAGTGAACCCTTCTGAAAGATTAGGTTGTGAATTGTATGCCATAATGATATAATCATTAGGCCAGTTGTTTAACAGAAAATATGATGGGAACCAATGTGAATAGGTAAAGATCTGCATTTTATAAAGTCCAGGGATTCTTTGCAAATCGTTCAAGTTCCTTAATTTGAAATGGGAACAACTTCTGAAAGAGTTTTTGGAAGTTGCTATTTGGCCAATTTTATGAATGGATTTTTGCATGTAACAGGAAGATTAGAATGATTTATGGCTAGATAATTCTGGAATACTCCCTCTCCTTTCTTCACTAAGTAAAATATTCATTTTAGGGATTTACTCGTGTTGGTTCCTAAAATCAAAGCCTATTTGTACAGTATGATTTCCATCTGAACTAGAAAAATATTAAAGTAGGCCAATATCCACATTCTTTTGGCTCTGCCTATGGGGAAGTAGTTTTGTTGAGCTGGATGAGGTAAATCCTACTCAATTAAGCAAGACTAATTTTAGTGTTCTTTTAATTTGCTTTTATCAACTATTATGCAAGTAAAACTGCTGTAGCTCAGTTTGAAATTGAAAAGTAACATAGCAGGAAGACCACTAGCTGCATGTCTGATCCTGTGGATGACAAAATGCATTCCCTCATGCTCTATGTCATCACTGCACTTGTTTTGTAGCTTTGCTTATTCTTCCCACCGTGTTTGTCTTCATTGTAAGTTGGAAGTAATTGATTTGTAAGGAAAGCTTCAATGCCCGTTTCTTAGCAGCTCCTGTTCTTAGACCTTATTTTTTAAAATGTAGTCCTTTTGTTTCATGTATTTAATTTCCTAAGTTTCATACTTAATATCTATTGTTTCCTAATATGTCAATTACTAGAACATTAGAATTTTACCTGATTTCTTGTGGATATCACAAAAGTTCTGGTTAAATTTCAATCTAAAATTTAAAAATTTGAATTTTAAAAAGTACTTTGAGCATATGTATGTTTATTTTTAGTAACAAATCATTTAAAACCCCTCACAACTTTTGGTTGATTTTTTTTTTTCTGATGTAATTTAGAATAAAAGCTTTTTGTCCTTGTATTCAACTCTTTTATAAGCAGCTGAAGACACCATATTTAATTCTATCTCAGTGACAGGGAAAGTAGTTGGCTCAATCTAATATGAGACAGTAGTTCTTAATATTGGGATCATTAGTGCATTTCCCTTTTAGTCTGTTTGAGTTAAATCTGCTATATGGAAAAAATTACTACAAGTCCTAAACATCTTTATTACTTAATTGAAGATTCTTTAACAGATCACCACAGAATTTGTTTTACAACTATTATGGTGTCTTCAAAGACTTAAAATACACTGAGAGAATTGGTCTATTTTGTACTCTGTATTTACATTAGTTGCCAAAAGGAATGGGGTTAAGATTATACTTGTTTCCATTCTCTACCTATGGATATGCATCCCCATGTTTAACTGACATGGGGTCCCAGTTGTGTGCTGAAATGTCTTATTAAAGAAGATGTTAAAACTAAAGTAGTCTTAATTTCTTTTGCATTTTAAGAGGTTTTTATATTGCCTCTACTTCCCCTGCCCTTCTTTCTATACTTAAAATTGTCTTTTGAGTGTAGCTCAATAGTACTGAGTGACAAGAGGTTTAATTTTTCATTGTTTCCCTGAATTCTTTGTCTGAGTCTCTAGAATACTTCTTGAAAATAAACTGAGAAAAGTGGTCATTTTGAAATAAATGTGGGGAAGTAATTGACATAAAAATAATATGCAGACAAATGTTTAGTTAGTTCATTGAATTAGACATTGACTAAGATTTGAGATAACTTTATTAAACTTAATATTGAAGAATCTATAAGTAATCACAATATGATTCAAACCTTGAATATAGCATTATTCAAAGTGGAGCTTACCAACATTTTTGTTTACCCCCCAAAAACCCTTTATTTTTTATTTTTGTTAACGTATAAAATATCCTGTGCCTGTTTTGAAATGTGACTAATGCAAAGGCCTCTGAATACTGAAAAATAACTGAAATGCCATGTTTAAATTACTCAGTATGGATTAATTGGTTTTAGTTTTCTAATTTGGGGGCTTTCTGTTGTCCTTGTTTATAGAGTATATTAATGAAGATCAGCACAAAGGAGGTGTGTTAACTGACTTTTACATTCTGACCTAGTTCAAGCTATCCTAATTTTACCGCAGAGCTTTCAGAAAACTTGTAAGAGCTTTCACTGTGGATTTAATAAAACATCTGTCTACTGGACTGGGAAAACAGATGTTTTATTAATAGAAGTTCATTCTGTTAATATTAATTATTGATTACCATCTTAAAACTAAAGTATCTTTTTGTTTTAAATGTTCTTTCATTTTTTTTTTACTGTTACCATTTCCCCCCCCAACCATTTTTAGCCTTAATTTTTTTGTATATATTGTATATATATATATGCCTTTAAATCTAAAATCTCTTACCTACAGGTAGACTTCAGTTTTTATTTTCAGTATGAAGTAGTTAAATCATTACTTTGTAATCAGTTTTTATGTATTATTAGTATTATTGCATTTAATGGCCTAAGTGATGTAGGTCAATTAGGTATCTCAGGTTCAAGATGGGAATTGCATTTTTGGAATCGGTTAAAATGCAGATTGCCAGAAAGTAGATTATCATCTTTCCCTTACAACAGTGTGGATAGGTTCCTCAAAATAAAGTATATGAATAGGATGACCGTAAGTCCTGTTTTGCACAAAACAACCTTAGTTCAAATAGTTTAATATTAAATATCGAGTTAATAATAAACATTATGAAATAGTAAGGTAGTACTTCCTTTTACTTACATACTAACCAGTTTCTGTGTCACTTTGTCAGACAGGTGCTTTTTTTAGATGTAGAATTTTGAGATTTTTATAATGCCAGAAACTCTTACTCAAGCGAGAACACAAGATACTGGTATTTTGTTGTATTTTCTTTATTGAGACAGGGTCCCTCTGTGTAGCCCAGGCTGGTCTGGAACTCAGTGTAGCCCAGGCTGTCCTTGAACTCAGTGGACATCTTGATTCAGCCTCCCAAGTGGTAGGACTTCAGTATACCACCTGCCCAGCACAAGGTTTGTGTTTTAACCCTTTATCTTAAAATGTTTTTAATCCTACTGACATTTAGATACCTAATAAAATGAATTAGGTTCCGTCAACATCCCATTCGAGATGTTCATATAAATTTTGTTGTTTTACCAAGTCAGATAATTCCTTCATTGTCTTTCACCCAAAGGATTTATGTACAGTGGCCAGTTGGAAAGAGAGTACTGCGTGTGGGCACAGAACACTTTCTCTGATGCAGGAAGGAGAAATCAGCTACAAATTCTGGGCTTTACTATTGAGAACTTTAACAAATCTTTCTTTTGGAGAAGAGGACTTTACATAGATTTGAATTCAGGACCTACCCTACCACTTGAGCCACAGCTCTAGCCTTTTTTGCTGATTATTTTTCAGGTAGGCCTCATGTTTTTGCCCAGGACCAGCCTTGGACACCATTCTCCTACCTGTGGCCTATGTAGTTGCAATGACAGGTATGGTCCATTATACTTGACTTGCTTTGCTGAGGTGGAGTTTGCCTGACTCTTTGCTTCAAACCTCACATTTTCTGCTTCCCAAATAGTTGGAATTATAGCTTGAGCCTAAAATTTTCTTTTGAGAACATCTTAATTTTGAAATAATTTCAGACCTGCGGCAAAGGTCAGTATTTTTAATATTTTATTCATCCAATTGGCAGTTTCCCATAAATCTTACATTACTGTGATGTTTGTTAGAACTCAGGAACCAGTATTAGTGTATTTCTGTTATCTCCAGTTTTTCCATAATTGCCAGTTTTTCTGTTCTAGGATCTAAGCCAGAACACCATATAGTTCTCAGTTGTCATTTCTCAGTCATCTTTGCTGTGTGGCAATTTATCAGTCTTCCCACTGGTTTTTGTGACCTTGGCAGGCTTGAGGTCCAAATGGTAGATGTAGTAGAATATGCCTCTCTGGATTTATTTGGTAATTTTTCTCCTGGTTTCACTAGTATAACATGGATTTTTGAAAGGAGACCACAGAGGTAGGTAGTACCCTTCTCATCACTTCATCTTGGGGACACATGTCATTACAGCTGTTCCTAGTAATGCTACCCTTCATCACTTGTTAGTAGTGTCTGCCAGGTGTCTGCACTGGGAGGTTACTGGTTTCTCTTTTCCTTGGGCAGTTTTGGAGACATAAGTGCAGCTCTCACCTAAAACGCATAGACTAATTTAATATTACACTCGTCAGAGGACAGAGTATGTAAATTGGGAGCTCTTTCATAAAAATTGGTTTTCTTCCCATGTATTTTCCTCCCATTTATTTATTTATTTACATACATATATTCGTATGAACTCATCATCCAGTGGCACATTACTTTGTTGCTCATATCATCCTAGCTTTGTTATTAAGGACTCTTCCAGGTTATTGTCTATGTCCCTTCTAGGTGCTCCATCCTTCTGTTTTGCTTTTTCAGATTTTTTTTCATGTTTATTATTGTAAGATGCTCCAGGCTTATCTAATGTTTCCCTGTTGCAGCTGTATAATGCATCATTTTCCCAGAGATGCCTGATTTATTTTATTGAATTGTATTTATTTTATTGAATAGTATTTAGAAATGTAGATCCAGTGTGTTGAGTTGGC